TGTGAAGTGTTAATTTTGGTAAATGTTAATTACGACTCACCATTAACAGATGCTTCTCTGTCGTAAATTATTGTCAGTAAAACCTTTACCTCTGCAGCTTTCTTTCCCGGAAGTGGAATTTCTTGAGATGACTTTTCTTTGAAATCTGATGTAAACATTCTTTCAAACATACTCGACCACATCGAGAGAGTAGACTTGTGAACATGGAATTTCTGTTCTTCTACTACCAAGATAACATCACTAAAATGCCAGGGAGATGAGAAAGCGAACTCGAGCTTCTGTTTCTTTACGTTCACATATTGTGACATGACGATGTCTGCCGAAGATTGTCAAGGACGATGAAAATGATTTAGTTTTTGCTACGCACAAATTGGTACAAAGTCCTTTCTTGAGCAAAATAGAACCACAACACTATTACGGCAACTTGTTGATCCAACTTCGAATTTTCTAACGTGTATATCGACCTATATCTCCTATATCAGTACGTCGTCTATCAGTCGAGCGCGAGTAGTAGTCGCAAAGCGCAACCGGGTTCCCAGGCCATTAGCAAGCAGAGAAATCCACAGGGATCCCAGTAGAACCGCATCACACAGAATTTCCCGCGCTTTGTGCACGAGTTTGGATTAAAGTCAGCATTTCAGAGTCTGATTTCTGATTGGGAACCATCTTATCTCAAAGTATGGCTGATAGAACTACTCCTAAACCCGCTCCTAAGCCTAAGAAACGAAAACTCGACATGGAAGATGAGAACAAAATCGACTTCACAAGTCCTTGGCATTTTAGCGATGTTGTTTTGCTCGTTGAAGATCGCAAGTTTCACGTTCACAAGGCCATCCTTTCTATGTGGTCACCCGTATTTGAGCGAATGTTCTCGTCTGAGTTCAGAGAAAGGTCAGCTCCTGAAATCCCGCTACCAGGAAAGAGTGCAAAGCAGATTGACGCGTTGTTGAATTTGATGTACTCCAAACAAGGCAGCGTGACCGGTAAGTTAAAGTTTAATATAGTGTCTTTATACCGTAGATTTGACTAGTTCGATTAGTCTTTCATCTCAACTGAGCGATTGAAAACAAAGCCCATTCATTTAAATCATATTAATCCAACATGGCGGCGATGTCTGCAGGCCAAATCTACTAAGTCCCCATTGGGAAAAAAATTTCCTTGTTTATAGAATTTGATTACCGTCCTTCCCAACAGAGACAATAGATAGCCTTTGTCATGTAAGAAAAATTGTTTTCCGTAAGTGGTGTCAATCAATTGAGACCATGCCTCCAACCCAGGGGTCTACTGAGGACTTTGATTGTGTTTACCCTCCTTTGATTGTGTGTTCCTCCAAGATGGCCAAGTGTGACGTAACTTGAAAGTTGTTTTAACACCTAAAGATTGTTTTATTTGTGTCTAAGAACTAGGAAATACTTTGACATTGTTAAAAGCTTATTACCCTGGTATTTAAGTGGGGGGACCATAATTTTGTCCTCCAGATGGAGCTGCTTTTACGTCACATGCCAGTTGTCTATAGATGCATTCATTAGCTATAGGGTGGACCATAAATAGAGACCTTCCAACAAATCTCTGAGCTCCTTGGTAAGCTCTGGGTAAAGGGTGGATTTCACTAGCGCATAGGCATAAGCACAAGCATGAGAATCGTATGCGCCAGTGAGAATGGCTCGACATAAGCATAAGACATTGAGCATGCGCATGAGCGTATTATTTCGGTACCAGCTATGCTTATGCCTATGCAGTTCCGTTCTCACTGAGCATCAGCATGAGATAAGCACAAGAAGATCAAGCCTTGTTTTTCT